GGCCTGGCCAGACAGATGTCGGATCATTGTTTGAAAACTGTTTTTTTTTTCAGCTTTTCAGAGTAGCTACTTTTAGTCACTCTGATCTTCCTTGTCAGTCTGTTTCTAGCCTGGTTATACAAGATTTTATTCCCACTTCTGTAAGCATCCTCTTTTGCATGATGAAGCTGTTTGAGTTTCCCAGTAAACCATGGTTTATCATTATGGAATGATAGAAATGTCCTGGTAGGAATGCACATATCCTCACAGAAACTGATATATGAAGTTACAGTATCTGTGAGCTCATCCAGATTGGTGGCTGCAGCTTCAAAAACACTCTAATCAGTGCAGTCGAAGCAGGCTTGTAAATCCGGATCTACTTCATTAGTCCATCAAACTGATTTCAGTTTCTGCCTGTAGGTTGGTATGAGATGAACTAGACAGTGATCAGAGAGCCCCAAAGCTGCCCGTGGGACAGAGCAATGCATCCTTTATTGTGGTGTAACTGTGATCCAATATATTACTGTCTCTGGTGGGACATGTAACATGCTGTCTGTATTTTGGCAGTTTACGGGAAATATTTGCATTCTTAGAATATCCAAGAATGATTGAAAGAGAGTCTGGGTACTTTTGCTCCATTTTCAGTCCATTTGTTCAGCCAACTGTTGAAGCGCTGCACTCACACATGCGTCTGGAGGAATGTACACATTCGCGTGAATGAAAGAATAAAACTCCCGCAGCAAGTAGAATGGTTTACAGTTTATGAAGAGTGCCTCTAAATTACAATTGTTTAGCCTATAAATTGTACTAGACTAAAATTCAAATGGAAACTGAATATTTAAAAGCTAATTCAAAATATTAATAAATATAATAATAGTATATAAAAAAATACTAAAATAGCATTGCATAAAACGATTAAAATGTCCAGATTTTCATGCAGCAAAATTGTATCCATACTGGAAATTCAATCACGTTAATCAACTAATCATATATGAATATTATATTTTTGACAAAAAAATAAACTTTGTTTTGGTGTATTTTTTTTAAACATAAAACTTTGACAGGCTACAATGCTTAAATGCATGCATTAAAATATACCCCTATTACTCCTACCAAAGCGAGAGGTTTTCAAATTAATGTAATAAATGGAAAAGTAAGACATGTAGTTTTATCAAGATGTTATGAAACAAAGTACATGCATTTTTACTATCTGGGGGAAAATTCATTTGGCACATTGCTTGTAATGTGTTACCCCAAAACTAGACTACTATGAGGTGGTCATCATGTTTTGGGTCTCCTTCCTAACACCACATCATGACGTGGATGGACTAGGCCTGACCTGTTGATTAGACTCAGTGTAGAGCAGGTAAAGGCTTCCAGTGCAAACCAGCTGCAAAACTGGACTCAGGATGCTCCGGCACCAGCCCACACACTCAACCCTGTCTGGCTCAGGCCTGGACAGCCCTCTGCAAGCACACAGGCCCAGGGAACCATCATAGCCTTCATACAGCTCAGGAGATGGACACACCTGGGGGGGTACAACATTTGACATATTGCTCAATGAGAAAACTGCGTCACTGGGTCATAAGTCACACATCATGTTCAGTGGTACACATGTGGCCCCTTATGTGTGCACTAAAAGTTCATGGAGGAAGGTATTTTATTTTACAGGTCATTGACTTGCTGGTCAACCATTCAACACTAAGAAAACATTGAAGATTGGATGTCTTTCATAAGCAAAATAAGCAAGTTATCACGCACCATTCATAAAATTTTGAATGGTATGTCATCATCACTGTACAAACAGCACAACTGTAATGCAGGTTTCTCATTATTACCCCGGTTTCCTCTTTCCTTTGGATGCTCACCTGCTGGGAGCAATACTGCTTCCATTGCTTGTGGTCCAGACATTCTCCATGCTGGTTTCGTGCTCTTCCATCCTTGCAGATCTCATAGACCTTCAACACACAGGCTTCTCCTTTCTGTGTGTATCCTAAAGTACATGGACACTGTCCGTCACTGGCCTACATTCAGGATTGGGAAGACAGCAGCCGTTAGAGACAAAAAATCCTGACTGTTTTCCCTAGTGACTAGTAACTGATGAAAAGAGCATTCAGCAGTCAGTGAGAGTGGTAACCAGACTCCCACTAGGCTGAAACATGAGCGTCTGTCTGAGCAGAGGTCTGCAGATTGCTTCTCTACAATTAGCTACAAATGCATGGGGACTTGTGTAAACAACGCAATAAGTTGTTACCTGGAAGACTTGACCCTCTCGCAGACATGTACAGCTGTCCTGTCCAGGCAGAGGCTGCTGTGACCAGGGCCCACAGGGCAGGCAATTCCTCAAGCCTTCTCTAGGTCCATAGTGATGTGGCGGGCAGCTGATGCAGTCATTCACAGAATGGGCCCAAAAACTTGGTCCAAATGTTCCTCTGAGACATGGAACTGGACCCTCACCTCCCTCTGGGCAGTAAAAACCTTCAGAGTGCACAAAATTAGAAGGTTAATCTTGCTTCAATAATCAAACTCAATTTCAGTCTTAGGAACAGTTCACCCAAAAATGAAAATGTGCTGAAAATTTGGTAACACTTTAGAATAATGGTCCGTTGTTAGCAAGTAACTATGCAGGAAGTAATAGGTAGTACTACATTAACACTTAACTTAATACTATTAACTAATAGAGAAGCAAGATTAACTAAGCAGTAAGTAGTAGCAACTTCATTAAGGATGTGAATTGTTTTTGTCAAGAGAACATTGTTATTTTATTCAAGAAAAGTCCTCCCTAGCATACTGTCACTAAAGGTATAGGTCTTTTGGAGTCGGAGACATACTGAACTGACATAAACTAGAGCTCATAATTGTGAACTAATTCAATCACTTCCTAATTATTAACATTTTTAAAATAATTATTTGTATTATTATTTTATGCTTTTGTTTGAAATAAACAGAGAACATCCATCCTTTGGTAAGAGTAGTAGTCACAATTTTAAAATGTAGCCGACTTATTTGGGGGATATCAAATTCATAAATTAGTTACCACAAATTACCACAAAGAACCCAATTGTTCACTTTTAAGACGTTACTGTTGTGATTAGTAATTAATTGGTTATTCTTTATTAATTGGTCATAGTTCACAAGTAGTTCTCAATGAGGATATATTGTTTTATTAATTATCAAATATCTAATAAGGAACTACCTTTGTCCTAAATTTGCTACTACTTACTGCTTAGTTAATCTTGCTTCTCTATTAGTTAATAGTATTAAGTTAAGTGTTAATGTAGTACTACCTATTACTTCCTGCATAGTTACTTGTTAACAACGGACCATTATTCTAAAGTGTTACCGAAAATTTACTCAGCCTCAGGCCATCCAAGATGCAGATAAGTTAGTTCCTTTATCAGAACACTTTTGGAGAAATTTAGTATTACATCATTTGCTCACCAATGGATCCTCTGCGGTGAATGGGAATGATAAGAGAAACCAATTCATCAGAATGAGAAACTAAACAGCCGATAAAAACATCACAATAATCCACAAGTAATCCACATAACTCCAGTTCATAAATTAATGTCTCGTGAATTAAAAAGCTGCATGTTTGCCCATCATCAAATCCATTACACAAATCAAAAATTTTAATAAAGCAATTTAACTATAAATCATCAGAAGCATCTGTCTTAATTATGACTTTAATGATGAAACATCTTGATGAATACAAACACACAACTTTACACTTTACAAAACTTTAACTGATGGAGCTGTTTGGACTCTCATTCTGACGGCACCCATTCACTGCAGAGGATCCATTGTTGAGCAAGTGATGTAATGCTATCTTGGATGGCCTGAGAGTGAGTAAACTTTCAGCATGAACTACTCTTTAAGTTTTTCTTCAAACATTCAATTTTTGTCGATGTGAACTTTTAGAAAATAAGCTCTTAAAACACACTTTTCACACTCTAACTAATGTACTTGGTCTTCTGAAATTACATTTAACAAATATTGGGATAAATGTCTGAATTCTTGTCTTGATAAGGCAAATTTCATAGCACTGCATCCTAAATACACACATATTAAATGCATTTGTACACTTTTTTAAATATTTTCACAAAATTGCATCATGGCTGGAAATAGCTTGCAATTTAATTATCACAAGTGATAATAATTGTAACAATGAATATCAAAATGATTAATTCACTTATTAGATCATTGTAATTTAAAATAATTTGTATAATGCATTTTTAGAGTTTAACAGAACAAGTGTAAAATATAATTATTTTTATTATACATATAAAAATACACATAAAAGTAGCCAACATATATGATCAAGGCATGGTATAGAGTTTAGGACAGTTGTCTTGTTCACATTGTAATTAAAATTAACCCCAATAAACACCCACTTGATGCATTTTTTACATCCTCGTGTTCCAGAAAAATTCAAGTTACCTGGTTTGCAGGAAGATCTCTCAGGAACTCTTAGAGTTATGTTTGATTCAACAGCAGTGCTCAGTCTTGGGGCAAAGAACCAGCAAAGTAGGGTAGGCCAGCAGAGGCAAACCCAGAACGAGCACATCATGTCAGTTTGCTGTCCAGGGCTCAGAGACAGTTCAAAGGGATACAGGAATCTCTCTCCCTGCCATGCTGAATGATTCATGAACAGTCTAGAGATAAAGTATCACACATGCCAATAGGTAGAAAGATGCAACCTGATGCTGCCAGTTCAGATTACAGGCCACAGTGAAACCATGAAACTGATTAATAATTTTGGCTGTGCTTTAAATGTCTTTCAGCACATCTGAAAAATATCAAATCAGTCACAAGTTGCAGTTTTATGAGAAAAAGTCCAGTCATATCAGAAATGTCCTACTTGTGTACACTTTCTCAAATACTTTGTCAGGGAAAGAGAACATTCCAGGCACTCTCTATTCAAACAAGCAATGGGATGCTGAAACAACAAACCTTGTTTTTCACATCCCTTGGCTTCATTCGTTTGATGCACCCAGTAGGCGAGAAGGCCATGGTCAGCCTAGTAAACCGATTGCAATATCTGGGTTAAAGTTGAATCTGCAGGATCCAGAGTCCTATAGCAGTAGAAACAAGCTTGAATTAACATCAAACACTTACTTAAGCAAAAATTATTACACTCTTTAAACTGTGCAAGGGAATCATATCTAGTATTGACAATGTAAATCAGACATAACATTTGGAGTAAAAAACAATGTTTTAAAAAGTATGAATCTGGATGCCAGTTAAACACTATGCTTACTGCTTATGATGACCTCATAATTTTTGCAATGTGATTCAAATCATTGAACTTGGACCCTGAATTACTTTATCTGAGCATGTGTGGACTATGACCTAATGGTGACTTCAATTATGCAATAAATGTTCACATTTCACACACTTTTAGCCCTACATAAGAATGAACTCAACTGACAAGGTAGCTTTAGTGCCGAAGTTATAAACTTATCTGATAAAAAAAACTGCTAATATATGTTATAGTTAGCCTACTTATAAATTGATATCCATTCCCACAAAACAACTTGTTGCACAATTTGTTATTGCAAGTTAAACTCAATACATGGAGAGTTATTCGCAGTCTCCTCCTAGATAACAACTGTGTCTGTATTTAAAGATCTAACTCACTAGTGACGCATTTATAAATAGCAGGCGACGCTACAACTCGCTAGACTCGTTTTCCTGTGGCACAAGCCACAAGTAAAACACTGTTGTGCCCTAAAAAAATGTACTGGAATACATGGAATACCGTGTACCAACCTAAGAAACATTTTAACTGAAATTTATTTTTTGTGTTCATCTATTGTGTCTGCCACTTATTTTCGGCTGTTTTGAAGCGCGAATGAATCAGAGTCAAGTGCGGGCTGAATCAGTGCGTGGTTCAACCTTAATCATTCGAAGAGTTCACGTATGAACTGAATCCTTTAGAGCTGTTTCTCACTCAGTAGGAAGAAGAAGAAGAAGAATAGGAATATTTACCTGAAACAAACCCTGCAAATGAATATTAACGTTTAGCAGCGATGAAGCACTTTTTTATTAAGTGTGTGTCACGTACGTGAATTAGTCTTTCCTAGGCCAAAGGATGTTAAATTTGTGAATGAATGTAGTGGGATTGATCCAGTTCTGCTGAAGGGTATAAAGTCTGTTTAGTTTCCGTTCGTTTTTTGGGTCGGTGATAAGATATATGACTGACTTAACATCCAACTTTTTTTTCAGAAATTTAACCAGTGATACACCGATAATATTTAGGAAAAGGTAAAAGTGATGCTCCCAAAGTCACCACAATTGAACAATTGTATAATTGTATTGTATCTCTAGATAAACATGTTATTGCCCAGACAGCAAAATAAATGGAGCAAATTACAATGATGTAATGCTTTAGATTTACACAACACACTACCCTGGACAAACAGAATGTTTGGTAACTAAAACTATGGCATTTGAATGGCAAAATTCCCTGTATACGGTTTGTTCTTGCCTAATGCTCACTTATACAGCCGCCAGAAAGTGGGTCTAAACTGGAATAAACAAATGCTCAAAGTAAGCCGCTATTGGCTTTGTATATCACTAGCTGACTCAAAGCAAACCTAAGGACTCATTTAGTAAAGAACAAACAAACAGCACTGTTGCTGTAAACAAACAAACAAACTATAATTGTTCGTGGAGCCAGAGATAATGCAGCAAGCACATGCCTGGTGGGTTCATTCTCTGTGACTTATTTCTGTGTCATTGCTGTGGGAAAACTAAGTAGGACTCAACATGACTGATAAAACTAAGCCAAATTTCATGCAGTTAAGTTCACAGCCAACATAATCCCTGGAACAGAGCATCCTGTATGAAGCCCATGTCGTGTAAAAGTAACCTGTTGACTATAAGAGCTGACCAAATACCTCCGGTTAGTAGTAAACATTCCAATAGCAATGACCTCGCATGAATTGGAACTGCGTCAATATTGGCCTTGATGTGACATCACTGGGGCTACTCTGAATCTGTGTTGTTGGAAGAGAGCAGCTTTGACCATTCTGCAAAATATCTTTAGGTTCCTAGCACCTATCGTTATCAAACTGACCCTCCACGTGGTATGTGTTGACACAGATGAAGAGCAGGACAGCCTCTGATAAGGGACTGCTTTAAATGTGGACCCCGAGAAGAAATTCTCATCTTCACATCAACTGGTAAGGTAGACTAATAGACTAATTCATTCATGACATTTGAATTGTCCTCTTTAATTTATTGGCAGTCAATTATATTTAAATAAATGGATCTAATTACATAAATCCTGTTTGTTTCTTTCTTTCTTTTAGAATAACCTGCAACACTACAAAAATATGAATCTGCAGTTTGTTGCATTGGCTTTGGCTTTAGCAACTACAACAGGTTTGTTGCCTCTTCAGTTTATTATCAATTTCCATTTGCTCTAAAATGGAGATTTTTTACATTCCTTATACTTACCTTTTTTTTTTTTTTTTTTACATTTATCTAATGCAACCATCCTCCCCTTCAGCATTTCCACTCAATGATGAGATCAGTCGAGACGCATGGAGTTTACAGAGAGACAATCAGGCCATTGACAAGAAAAATTTTGCCAAAGACTTGAAGTAAGTTCACTCTCATAGTAGAAGTATTGACAGTACGGTACAATGACATGATGCTTATTTATTTTGTTTATTTTCATGCATTAAAAAATGTTATTCATACATACCATGTCTTGAATACACCTCTTCTGTGATCAGCGTGTTTTTAATTCCTAAATTAAAATTCATTTTGATATTTTTTGAGGGACATGAAGTGAAAATGTCAGAGCAATGCATCTGTGATATCATAATGAAGATGAGATGAAAAAAATTATATTCTCGAATGGATAACCTTATTAAGTAGTTATAATATAGTCATATAGTTATTTCTTAGAAAAAAAACTTTTAATATTTGAAAAACGTTTGTAATGCCATGTAGTGCAACCCACCAAAAAAGTAAAGATATTTATGAATTAATAATTTTACCTTGAAAAATACATTTAAAAATGTTTTTGAAAATAATGAAAAGAGGTGTACACTCAAATGTTATCAAGGTGTATGGAAAATGTTATTTCTTTTTACTTGATGGTTACACCACTTGACATTTAAATTGATTATTTTTTTTTTTTTGTATAAGAGTTTCTTAAACCATATGAACCAACAAGAATACAAAAAGTACATTTCGAATAACTTGGCACAACTAGTTTGATTTTTTTCCTTTTCTTTATCATGGACATTCTTGTCCACATCCAAGTCATTGTCCAAATCACTGACCCCTGATCCTGTTTTGCAGTGGTGTGTGGAAGAACCATGTGGTGAGCAGTGACCTTTACTCCCAAGACTCTTACAACCCCATGGCAGCTGAACTGAGTCGCAAACTGAGTATGGAGTCTGAGCGCCTGAGGGCTCGTCTCAAGCAGGAGCTTGCTGAACTGAGGGAGAGACTCTCTCCTTACCCCAGCCACCCGAAACACACTATGGCCAATGTCAAGGAGTTCCTCTCCCCCTTCACTAAGCAGCTCCAGACGGCTCTCCAATCCAATACTCAGGAACTCTGTGAGAATCTCAGTCTGAACCTCCAGGACCTGAACCCAGAGATAGCCACACTCTACCAGGAGGCAGTGCAGAGGATCACGCTAGCTTTGGAGGTAAGCCACCAGAAAAGGACAGCAGCCTTTGAGGACTTTAAAACAAAAGCATTTGAGGCTGTAGAGGAGGAACGAGACAGCAGTGGAAAGGAGCTTTGGGAGGAAGTTACTGCCAGGCTGGGACAGGAAGTGTGTACCTTCAGTTTAGAGGTACAAGGGAAGGTGGCGGCACTCAAGATAGCTCTGGCAGGCCATCTGGCCTCGGCACAGCCTCCAAGGGATGTGATGGCTTCAAAGGTGGATCAGTTCTGCCAGAATTCCTCAGCTCGGAATCAACAGTTTATTTCTAACTTAGACCAACAGTTGATCGCTCTACAAGAAAATCAGAGTCATGGTGAGTCAGCTGGTTTCCATCAGACAAACATAGAATCCATACAGGAGGATTTCTCAACCCGACTCACAGCCCTATTACAAGACATCGTACACACTCTAAATTAAACAACACACCTCCATTCCAATCAGAAATGGAACTGTAATGTACTGTAAATAACAGCTCTTATGTTTGAATTGTACATTGTGACCTGTAACTTTTGTAGAACAATATTGTTGTTTGTACAGTTTTCAGAAAGATCCTTGTGTAAAGTACAGCGAAATCCATTGAATTGAAAGACAACAGAAAACCTTTCTTCCTTTTACTGAAGATATTCTGTGTAATGTGTGGATGGATATGCTGTTTCATAAACATATAAATAAAAAAAGTTCAGTTTGTACATATTTGAAATAAATATGTGTTGTCCATTGATTATTGTCTCAACTACAGTATATGAATAAAAGTTCTTTCTAAATAAATCACATCTAAACAATTGTGATATCATATTAAATTACAGGAAGCAGCAAATCATTGGCTAATACAGAGGTTTTCAAACCGGGGTCCGTAGAAAATGTGAAAAATTAGACACAATGAAAACTATGTTACAAACTACTTTAATCTATAATAGAAAACTTTTTTACATAATTTAATTTTAGGGCTGTCAACGTTAACATGTTTATCAAATGCAATCATTTTTAACACAAAATATAAAAAAGCTCTTTTACAAATAAATCCTATTTTAAATATTATTTTATACTAAATTCATCTAATAGTCGGTAGAAAACTTTCCAGATATTATTTGAATAATTTACTTTGCTTTTGGTACAGTCGAACTAAAAGCCAATTATTTAATTTAATAAACAACATTGCACACTTAATATTTCTCACACAATATAAATGGTTCTTTATACATGACAAAATATAGCTGCCTTTTGATCATATTTGGGGGTCCTTGGCATCAAAAAGTTTGAAAACCCCTGAGCTAATATACAAGCAATGTGTATAAGAAGCAATGTGTAATCAAAATATTACAAAAAGATTATATGCACAGTTTGTTCCTCTCAATAATGCAGCTAGGCCTACATCCCTCTTACAGTATTATTCAGATAACTATCTAAAAGATGTCAAACAATGCCAATATCAGTATTTGTATTTACATGAGAGAATTAAGCATTTGATTTTTCTTCCAAGCGCATGGTGACTGGACTACACAGTGCTGTCTAAATAGATTAAAATATGCTAAATAGGCATTATGCAAAGCGTTTTTTTGCTGGTTTGTGCAGATGCTGTGATGTGATCAGACGTCTTATCGGCATATCAAATTAAGCTTCATTCAACGCAAAACAGATGGCGAGTTGATGGATCTCTTAGTGGAAAGCCCGAGGCAGAGCACCAGCCCAGCAAAACTTCTTCAGCACAAATCATCCAGCCATAACCAGCAACACAGCACTGCCGGTGGAAAAAATGACCCCCACCACCACTCCAGCCACGTTCATATTGTCCCTGTTTAACAGCTCACTGCCTCCTGATTCACAAGACAAACAATCAGTTGCTGTCAACACATGGCACTGTGCTGTTAGTGTCTAGATTTTTATTTAGCTATATTTAATACGTTTTAAATCATTTTTTAATACTGGTTTTACATTTTTAATAATAATTTTGACATTTTACTATGTTTATTAGTATGTATGCAGCTTTAAAGACCTTATAAAAATGTTTATTTTGGTATTCTAACACCATTTAAAATGAACTAAGCAAAAAGAGTAATATTTTGATGGAAGTAAAGTTTCAAAAAGAATCCCATACCAGAGGTCATTGCAGAAGAAACTTCATTCTCTACAAGGATCAAAAAGAGAGAGTAGTAAGGCTAATCTCAAAATCGCTCTGATTAGGAATTCAGTATGTTTGACAATAAGCTTGGACTCATGCTGGATTCATGTGTATATGTGACTGACTTACTCAGGGCTGCGGTGTGCAGAGGACCCACAGACACTGTGGCAGAATCTTTGGCTTGTGATCCGTAAGGTTCTAGGGCCCTTCGCCTTTGTGTTCTGGCAGAGTTGCAAGACTGTATGAGTAAAATAAGTGAAATGTTAATTGGATGATATTTTCGGTAGTAGTATTCATTCTATTCGAACAGTAAAAGACTCCTACATCAAGAAGTTCTTGGCACTTGTTTGGTTCGCAAAGTCGCAGTATGCAGTGCAGGTATATAGTAGACATTTCTTGATTACGGTGCTCCACGAAGCGGAAGGCTTCAAATGAAAATCTAGAAAACTTGGAACGGCCATTATAAAGCACAGTTGTCCGGTTCTCTATAAAGCATCTGTCATGAAACAATCGAGAAACACTGAACACAAATCAACAACTAAGGGTCCAATTTGAGCAATGAATTGTTAATGAGGAGTAACTCACCCTGTGAAAAAATTGTGCTGTTTGTAGTTGGTGTGATTATATGGTGATGGGGTCGCAAAACAGTGGTCCAGCAAGAGATGAAAACTGAAAAAAAGGCAGTATTTCATTTCACAACAAAACCCTTAAGAAACATGCCATTCACTGTCTAAGAGAAAACTGCCATGTTCTTACTTTCCAGTGAGATTGGCAGCTTTAACTTCAACATAGACTTTAGTGCGCAGTTCTAATCCAGTAAGCGGAACCACCAATTGGCTATTAAAATCTGTGCTCTGATACAGAAATAATAAAAAATATCAATAAAATTATACATATTTTCATTTCAATTTAAGACAAATTCACACTTACATTGAAGACTCCCATGCTGAGAGTGTCAATGAAAGTACCATTGTTGTCACTAGTGGCCACTGACACTGATGACCTGCAGGAAGAATATTAATCAAGTCAAGCCTTTTGTTGTCATACTGCCATTGGTGAAGTAGTGGAGAGTGAATGACTGAATACTCACGCTACAATCTGAGTGTTGTTGATGAGATATTCTAGCGGGTAACGGCAAGAGAAGTGATAGTAGAGGTCTGTGGAGTAACTGATGACGCCCTCTGAAGAGCTGGGCGTATCAATGTATCCTGTGATAATGACGGACTGAATGCTGGAGAACATGCTGAATGGACCAGAGGAACTGGGCACCTCATCTACAATCTAAAAATGTCCAAAGGGAAATTCAATAAAGTGCTATACACAAACGCAATGCATTTAAAACTATTTTACTTTTTTTACCGTTTTAAAAACTACATTTTTATACTTTTTTATAATCATAATTAAACATTTTCGATTCTTTTCTACATTTTACTGCTTTTTTAAAAGTATGTATATACTTTTTAAGACATTTAAAAAAAAAAGTTTTTAAACTTTATATACTTTTGTGATTATAACACATTATTTTATTTTTATTATATTTAATATGTGTATACTGTATTTTAAAATGTTCTATTGTTTTTTTTTAACCTTTTACTATTTTTTATAATTAGTATTTATGCAGTTTTTATGATCTTATAATTTTTTTATTTTGTATTTTCTAATACCAATTAAAATTATCTAAGAAAAAAAAGGGATGACATTTTTCCAGCTCTTGAAGACTGAAATGTCTTTTTTTCTTCCCACCTGCAGAGACTGTCTACATGGGTTCTCCTGGCTGTGGTTGACTGGCAGATGGTAGCGGATGACAGGTGGGTTGACAGTGGTGTCAATGGTGCCCTTGCACTGGGCGTTATTGCGCTCCCCGTTCAGGGCCAGGCCGTTGGGGTCAAAGCCTGCCCACTCAGCAGTGCACAGGTTTACCTCCAGAGTGATCATGTTGGTGCCACAGTCTACCACCAGATCATTGTTGTCTAACCAAAAAGAGAGGTGATAGTGTCAAGCAAACTGCAGAGAATGGAAGACTGTCTCGCATCTGGAAGGTCAGAGATTCACCTGGAACCTTGTTATACTCCGAGGAGCAGTTATAGGCAGAGTGAACCGGTTGCAGGATGAGAGCCAGTGCACAGAAGCAGAGACACAGCATCATTCCTGCTACAGAGCAACAGCAGAACACGACTAAAAAAAATCACAGACTGAAAAAGTAATCCAACAACACAACCTTAACTTATACAACTGTTATAATTACAATGAATGTAATTATTTAGAATGCATTGCGTTGTTTATTAACATTTAAGAGAAAAAGCAGTAGATATCAGTGAAAAGAAACAGTAAACCATACCTGTTTAACTCCCAGGGACACAATTTTAGAAAGGTGATGAGATGCTTCTTATATAGCATTGGACCCCAGGCATGATTTAGGTGCAGGGAGTGTCTCATCCCTCCTACTACAATACTGTACAATTCCTTCCCATATTATAAAATGAATCCGCTGCTTCTGGTTAACAATGACAGTTCCTTTAATACAGTGACAGTGAGATTTGAAGCATATCCAAGAGATACCAGTTCTGTTATTCAGATAAGTCACTATAAATGAAGACTGATAAATATGTGATTATGACAACAAAGATGTAGAAAACATGTATGTATATGTTAATAGGTTAGCATTATTCTATGATCGAAGGCATTTTACCATCATTTTTTACATGTGAAGTGCAATTGGAATCAGGTTTATGATTTATTATGTGTAATCTGGAAGCTGCTACGTACATTGACATCTGCAATTTGTATGTATATAATGTGAAATGCATTAATTAAATCTGTTTATAGAAATAAAGTCTTGAATAGCACACTATAGGTATCCTGGTGGCTATTAATTTGAAATTGTGTTAGTTGTATGGTTTGTTTCAATGAGAGTAAATGATTTTGAGCAACATTTACTCATACAAACAAATATGGTTTGTTGTAACACTGATGTTTTTGTCATAATGTTGTGTATTACATGAAAATCCATATCTTTAAACTTTCAGATGTGTTGTTGTCTGTGTGAACCAACTGTAAAAACTGTCCAGAATTCTTACTTTGTCTATTTTGTCCATCTGAGAACAGATATTTTTCTGTAACAGTATTAAATGTCAAAGTCTTAGAACGTAAATTAAGAGTCTGTTGTGTATAAATCATTTGAAACATAAAATGTTGCATCATCCCCTGGGAATAGAACATTATGAATACGAGAAATGTGATAATGTGCCACAAGGTATGAAACACAGAACGCCAAAAATAACCTTTGTTCGTCTGGCTCGCATGCAAGCCTCATCTATTGTGTTCTGAGAGCAGCTGGATCAAGACACCCCTGCTAAAGGCTAAAGGGTCCATTTTGACTGAGTGATGCTGAAATCTGACAAAGATCTTTGAATGAAGCACATACACTTGTGTCAAAAAGCCCCTTGGTGTGAGAACATATTTCACATATTATGCTTGGATGCGTCACACCTTGATGATTTTCTGTTCTTGTCCACTGGACAAAACAACTCCCTGTGTTCTTCAGTCTTATTCTCAATTTAGATGAATTCATGTGACTGCAGAGATCACTAAATCTGATTTGGAGAGATTGTAAAATGCATAGTGTGAAGTATGAGAATCTTACTTGTTCAAGAAGTCAAGCCACTTGCACAGTCAGATAAGGACAGAATTGACTCCTTCGAGATTACAGTGGGTACAGTTTGTACTTAATTTATAAACCGTAATTCATAAATTTATAAGGCAACATTCCTATGAATAAGAATTTACAACAACTTCACATTTATCACAGTATCTAACAACTGAACAAAGGAAAGGAACGTTGAGGTTCTTCAGAACAAATAGTAGTACAATAGTAAAACAGTACTAGTACAATGCTACCACCTGCTGGTTCAAAAAAATAAAAATAGCAACACCAATATTATTATGAGGTTCCATTTGTGTCAAAAATGAGTCGACTGCTTTGTGCTTTGTACTATACATTTGCCTTTGTCTACAGTCATTGCCTACTTGTTCAGGTAAATCAATATATGTTGACGTGTATGTTGTCTGTTAACGTCGTCTCTTAATCTGTCGTCCTGCTTGCTTTTTCTCTGTCGTTTAATTACTGTCGTCCTTATTGTTGTTTTGTTCTGTCTTCTGTCGTCCTAACAGTCATTTTGTTCTGTCATCCTAACTGTCGTCTTGTTCTGTCGTCCTAACTGTCGTCCTGTTCTGTCCTCCTAACAGTCATTTTGTTCTGTCGTCTTGTTCTGTTGTCCTAACTGTCGTCCTGTTCTGTCGTCCTAACTGTCGTCCTGTTCTGTCGTCCTAACAGTCATCTTGTTCTGTCGTCCTAACTGTCATCCTGCAAAGAAACCTATTGGTAAATTACTAGTGGGCAAAACTGACTAAATATAAGACAACCTTTGGAACATGATAAAACCCTCTCGGTGAATAACTGTAGGTTTAAAAAAAAAAAACGATGTGTGTACTGTACATACAGTAAGGGAGATATTGGCAAACTCTCACCTGGAGGAAGTCAGTCTTTTAAATAAGAAAACACTACAACCCTTTTCTAAAAATATTTGTGCACTGTACATACAGTAAAGGAGATATTGGAAAATCTGACCTGTCTGTAGTAAGTCAGTCTTGTAACTAGGAATGTATTACAAGCATTAGAACATGAACAAACCCTTTTGGTAAATTACAGTAGTTTTTTTCTAAGAATATTTGTGTACTGTACATACAGTAAAGGAGGTATTAGCAAAATCTCACCTGTAGTAAGTCAGTCTGGTCCCTAGAAATGTACTATTTGTAACATTAAAAACATTTTGGTGAATTACAGTATTTTTTCTAAACATATTTGTGCACTGTACGTACAGTATAGGAGGTATGAGCAAAATTTCACAAATCATAAGTCAGTCTTGTAACTGCAAATGTACTACAACCTACAAAAAAAACTTTGCGTACAGTAATTTTTATGAAAATAATTGTGTACTGTACATAGGCCTATATGGAAAAAAAAAAAAATATTGTAAATTACTGTAATTTTTTCATAAAATATTTGTTCATTGTACATACATCAAGGGAGATATTGGCAAACTCATAAGTTTTGTAACTAGGTATATACTACAACCTTTGGAACATGAAAAAGCCTTTTTGGTGAATTACAGTAGTTTTTTTCTAAACATATTTGTGCACTGTACGTCCAGTAAAGCAGGTATTGGCAAAATTTCACCTGTAATAAGTCAGTCTCTGTACAGACTGTAAGGGAGATGTTGGAAGTATTGTCTAAGGCGAGACATTGGCAAAATATATTTAGTCAGTTTGCCCACTAGGCATTTACTACAGTCCTGTGAACATTAATTTGAATGAATTATTGTACTTCGTTTTGTACTGTGAGGTGAATTTGCAGACGGTTCCTAAAGCAACCTAGTCGAATATGAAATGTGAAACTAACTTTACAGTGCTGATGAAGGTTATGACGACAGAACAAGACGACATTAAGCACGACAGAATAAAATGACAATTAGGATGACAGAACAAGATGACTGTTAGGACGACAGTTAGGACGACAGAACAGGACGACAGTTAGGACGACAGAACAAGACGACTGTTAGGACGACAGAACAAGACGACAGTAAGGACAACAGAACAGGACGACAGTTAGGACGACAGAACAGGACAACAGTTAGGACGGCAGAACAGGACGACAGTTAGGATGACAGAACAGGACGACAGAACAAGACGACTGTTAGGAGGACAGAACAGGACGACAGTTAGGACGACAGAACAAGACGACAGAAGATGACAGTTAGGACGACAGAACAAGATGACAGAACAAAACGACAATAAGGACGACAGTAATTAAATGACAGAGAAAAAGCAAGCAGGACGACAGATTGAGACGACGTTAACAGACAACATACACGTCAACATATACTGATTTACCTGAACAAGTAGGCAATGACTGTAGACAAAGACAAATGTATAGTACAAAGCACAAAGCAGTCGACTCATTTTTGACACAAATGGAACCTCATACCAGAGCAGTCTGTGTTATTTCTGGGATGCATTAACTTCAAGGTAAATTCTGGGTAAATGTGAAACCTTATCAAAACATGTCACTTTCACATAGATGCCAGCAGAAACATTACAATAATCCTTTTTCCCCCCAGCTCTACCGGTCTACCAGTTGTAACGTGAGCAGTTGTTCCTATGTGTCCAGACTAGACTTCAGTCTTGCAATTTTGTATTATTGCCAGTAACTTAGCAATGGCCTCTTAATACCCCATAATAATAATGATTATAATTATATAATATAATATAATATAATATAATATTATATTATATTGTAATACATAGGCTAATAATAATAATAATAATAATATGTGGTATTAAGATGCCATTGCTAATTTACGCACTATATAATGATCCTAGATCGCATCATTTTCACAACTCACAACAACGTCACTGTTTTATGGCGTTTTTGTCCATTTTTTATTTATTTATTCTCCTTCGGAAAGACGTTTCGTCAGCTGGACAATCCATATATCGTTAAACAACAGTACAATTGAATCCCTCACAGCCTCGTGTTCATTCCCGTCAAAAATTAAATATGGCGCTTCCCTGACTACATCTATTATCTTGTTTATTGCTATAGCTAATGTTTCGAGCACAAAATAAGCAGACATAATCTTGAACTTTCACATGTTTTTAACAAATACTGAAGTTCAATCCGTTCAATATCTGTCTATGATGTCACTGAAAGCAGTGGCTGTGGATCTGGTGTCTTCTCAAACTCCTCTCTTTTAGTTATTACAAGAGTCAGCCTGTACTTGTTAAGTACTCATATCTGGCTGCTGCAATATTATACTTTCCTGCATCCAGGTTATAGAAAATTCATAGCATTCAGTGAGATAAACTTTAATGTCCATTCTATATGCATGTGCAATAAATATGCAAGCTGCAGCATCCACACAAGGTGACACAAACTGAACATACCTAAACAAAGTGTACAAGCTGCATGTTACTGTAGATTATTTGAAATAAGCACAACCTAAAATGCCAGGAAGGCATTCTGTGAAAATAGTAATTTTAATATCCAGGTATACACAACAGCTAGTTACAGTCCCCGAATCGGAATGAGTTTAGGAGTGATGACATGGGTTGCATTGTTACAGCAATCTTTATGAATGAGTCATTCAATCGTTCATTCAAAAACGCTGATTCTGGAATAGCATAGTATACTTTCTATTTCTCATATATCTTTTTATGACAGAAATAGTGAGAGCAGTATTAGCCTCTGGTAATAAGTGAGTCATTGAATCATTCACTCAAACAAATAATTAAAAGTTTTATTTTGGAACGAAACGTCACTAATGTGTGTTGCTTGGAGACATGCTGCTGTATAATGCGAATTTTCCAATATTAACGTAATACATAGAATAATAGAACAATGTAAATAATGTAAACGCCTAATGATGTAAACAGAACAAAGCAAAAACACTCACAATTGTGCTGTTTTTCAAAAGGTTTCAGTACTAACGTCAAGCATACGTTTAGAAGTTAGTGGTTCTCAAAAGAAGTGACTTGAGTGACATGACAGATTACATTCAGTGAGGAGGGGCAATGAGTCCGGGCAGCCTGCCAGAGATCAGTACAAACAAACTACACATGCAATGCCACTGGCCTGATGGCCTCACCCTTATTTCTCCAAAACCTCATGACATCTGCAGAATCTGTTCATAATACCCTACAAAGATTTCACTGCGATTACACGGTAACACTGTAGGAGGTTGCCTCTACCAAGAATTTAACTAAGTAGGCCTCTTGTAACTGCCACACACACCAGAAAAAACACACCAGCTTAAGCTGTTTAATGAATTTATTTTCTTTGTCGGGTCAAGGGGGAAATGTCTGGAAATGAAAAAGGACAACAAAAAAAATAAAACCACAAAGATGAAGAGGAAACAGGCTGTTGAAAAACTGTGTGCTTCCTTTCCTGACTGGCTTCCTATTCCTGAGGATAGTGTGCGGCTGACTGTGAGCTGGCAGGGTCAACAGCAGTGACTGAGCTCCTTTGACTTGCACAGACCAGTCAACCTCATAAAAAGTCATCTTATTTCCTCTGCCAGTTTGCTAGTGAGCCAATCAAAATTGGTCCCTCTGCACTACATGTCTCTGAACAGATTTTATATGAACTGTAGAAACCACAGTGATTACACAGTGATTGATGTTTAGTAATGTGTTAGTGATACAGGAAAAGCACAAAACATTGCTAAAGGATTATGCACATGGTTACTTATCACTTATATCCTGCAACATATTTAACATACAAAAGTCAAAGCACTACAAAATGAAAATTAAACAACAATTTGGCAATTTAATAATTTAAAGATAATTAAGGAACAGTTCATTCAAAAATAAATAGCCTATTTGCTGAAAATATTTACTCACCCTCAGGCCATCCAAGATGATGATGAGTTTGTTTCTTCATCTGACCAGATTTGGAGAAATTTAGCATTACATCACTTGTTCACCAATGGATCATCTGCAGTGAATGGGTGCCGTCAGAATGAGAGTCCAAACAGCTGATTAAAACATCACAATAACCCACAAGTAATCCACACAACTCCGTCCATCAATTAACGTCTTGTGAAGCAAAAAGCTGCATGTTTTATACTAAACAAATCACTTCACTTCAAACCATTGCTTCCAGCTAAAATCCTCTATCCATGACATTGCTTTCTCAAGTGAAAAAGTCGTCTCATCTGAATCAGGAGAGAAATACTGTATGTACAGATCAAGCACTGTTCATAAGCGAAAACAGTCCAAAACAGTTCTAAACAAATATGTTGGTGAATTTTGATGTGAGAGGACAACTGATGGACTTTTTCGCTGGAGGAAGCATTATTATGGATTATGGACACCTTAATGATGGATTTGTTTCTTACACACAAGCAGCTTTTCACTTAACAAGACATTCATTGATGAACTGGAGTCATGGATTATACTTGTGGATTATTATGATGTTTTATCAGCTGTTTGGACTCTCATTCCGACGGCACCCATTCACTGCAGAGGATCCACTGGTGAGCAAGTGATGTGATGCTAAATTTCTCCAAACCCGTTCCAATGAAGAAACAAAGTGACATGGAAAAAAATAAGCCTAAACACGCACATAAATACATTTGTGTAACCTTTTTAAAATGTGTTAACTAATGTATTATTAGCTTGTTTATTTAAAAATAGTGAACAAAAGATATGCATTGTAGGAAAAAACTACTTCGGAACACTTGTAAAATTCACACGTAATGAGTGGGAGCGCAAAAACAGCTACAGCAGCCTCTGCTAGCAGGCACTTTCATTCGGAGACTCGAGCAAACTTTTTGGAGTCAGAGTGAAAATTTGCTTGCGTTGGTTTTGTCTGACAGCGGGACGTTTTGGCAGGATCTAGAAACAGTCGTGTCGTGGCAATCGCACACCCATTGAAACTATGTAGAGATGGAGTTCATGAAACTGATCGGAACTGTTTTGGCAGTTTGTTTCCATCCCTGCTGCGCATCAAGCGCGTTCGGTGGTGAGTTTGTGCTTGTTTATGTAAAAATGTCGGTTCATGCATAGTGATATTCAAATGATCTTCGTTAGATTTTGTATGCTTCTTTACTGCACAGTATTTAATAATGACAGTCTAATAATACGATAGTTTCGGTTAAGAGACTGCAGTCTTTTTAAACAACGATTTCTGAAGCCTTTGTTTTGCAAAACCACATTTAACGAATACAAGCGTCAGCTGATGCAACAAACGCTTAATCACGGAGTACTTTTATGTACAGTGGTTTGTTTATGTACAGTTTACGGATAAGAAGGGTTTTATATATGGGTCACAGGCAGCTGTTTTTTAGTCAGGGAGGATATGGCTGATGGCTGTCGCACACATGACTTTGCTTGAGAGGATTTTCCGCCTGACAGTTTGTGGACGTTCTACTGGTTTCTTCCTCTCTTTGCTCGCATATGTCCCTGCGCCAACTTTCCTATAACGGTTCCTGCAATATTTCCATAATAGTACTTCAGGTTCAACCCTAACATCAGTGTTTTTTGGTGATGTGGTTTGCAGATCACAGGATATGCCGGAGAGGGACAGAGAAGCCCTGCTATAAGATCACAAGCTTCCAGGACAGCAGGCTCAGAGCAAGCTTTGAGGCAGCCAGACAGAAATGCAGGGAGGATGATGGAGAGCTGCTCAGTATTGAGACCGAGAATGAGCAGCGTCTGGTGGAGAGATTTGTGCAGGAGCTCAGGGCCTCTGATGGAGACTTTTGGATTGGGCTACGAAGGAGCTCACAATATAATGCTGATTGTTCATCACAGTATTACTGGTTGGATTACAGTCAGGCCACATTCAGGTAGGATATTTGCAGTAATACCCTGAAATATTCTTATGATTGATTGATTGATTATTTATTTATTTTTTTAATAAATTTTTTTTTTGCACGTTTGGTTGTAGTATTAGAATTAAAAAAATGGGGAAAAAAATTAAAGCTATATAGAATTTTTATTTTTTTTTAAATGGCAAAAGCACATTAAAAATTACTAAAAACTCAAAAAAAAAATGAAAACTGTAAATGTAAAAATCAAAGCTATTTGAAAATTAAAAATAAATAAATAAAAAATTATGAAAGAATTTTCATTTTTTTTTGGTGAACTGTTCCTTTAAGTGAAAGCAAAATAGTAAATCCGATATAATTTTAATTGAGTCTGTGATTTTCCAGGAACTGGCTGGTGACAGAGCCCTCGTGTGGCCTTGATCAGTGTGTGGCGTTATTCTACAGGCCCTCATCTTCTTCTGGCCAGAAGGAGCACAACATGTTCAAGTGGACTGACTACAACTGCAATTCCAAGAATAATTTCATCTGCAAGTACTCAGACGGTAGGCTTTTGCTTGTGTTGATGTTAGCTGTCACATTAAGATATTTAATAGGCAACAAATCTGAGACAAGCATCTTTAGTGTTAACATGTTATGTAAGAGGACTTCAAATGTAAACTCTGCTGCCTCCTGTATGTGTTTAGAGAAGCATCCTGTCCCCACTCCGGCAGGAAATATCACAACACTCGCAGGTAAACAAATCCTTAACTTTTCTCTGGTGCGTTTGCTACTTTTTTCTGACATAGCCCACAAAACTTGAAAATTAAAGGGATAGTTCCCAAAAAAGTGCAACTTGAGTCTTATCATTTACCAGTGTTATCATCATAAAATAAATATTAGATCCAAAAACTTTTTTCAAAAAAAATTTGAAATGCTGCCTTGGTAAATTGAGATAAATAAGTGCAAGCGGAAGTACTAAAATTACTAAAACTAAAACTGATATAAGACAAAATTAAAGCTAAATAGAAATGTTAAAATAAAAATCAATAGAAAACAAAAGCATATAACAAAATTACTAAAACTTAAAATTAAAACTGAATATATTAAAATAAAAGGTAAGTCAAAATATTAATATGTAGTATATCAATTCTAAAATAACACAAAAATTAAAATAATCATTTACTCTCCTGTTCACTTTAATCACATGGAAAAGCAATAACATTCTGCACAGAGTAAAACAGTTATATAGGTTTAAAAGGCCATGAGAATGTGTAAATGAGGACATAAAAAAGGACAAAATTTTAATATTGAGGTGAATTATTAGTTTAAAAAGATGGATAATAATGCTTATGATGGCCTCTAGTGGTGGAAGTACTTTTGCTTACAGTAGTCAGGCTCAAAATCCATAACAGATCAAGGACAAACACCATAAATGCTTATTTATCATTCACAGTGATTCTTGTTTTTAGATGCTGATGACCTGACTCTGGTGCCAAAGCACCTGCCGCCCATTAGAGTGGACAATGACAGGATGAAAACTGAACTCTCTGAGTCATCAGGTATTTCAGGAATTAATGGTCAATAGAATATTAGTTGAATTATATATATAGAACTTTTTTTTTAATAATGATGGACTTTCTCTTAGTTTCTATTTCAGATGACACTAATATTTACTACATCCTCCTCGCCACACTGCCTGTAATGCTGCTGTTGATATTGGTGGTGTCGGGGGTGTTCTGCTTCAGAGTCATGTCAAGAAGGTATGTAATGGACTGCAAACATTTTTATCATTTCTTAGTTTGTTATTCTCTATGAACTATTTTGTCTGTCAGCCTGCCATATAATATACTTTCTGACTGTGTCTTTACAGGAGAAAAGAACAGAATGAAATCTATGCCGTGCCAGGACAGTGGGTGCGTCCCGTAGCTCCAAAAAGTCAGAAGGATTATGAACGCACCGACAAATTCAACCAGTCTGGAGCTCATCTGGAGTACATGAGCTCTGAAATTAACAGAACATTTAGCATGACGTCTGCAAACAGTCAGTTTGAGGACTACGAGAACGTCCTGAGCCGGCCCACGCAGTGCGGTTTTGTCACTAATGACATCTACGAGACCTGCCGGGGGTCCTCGGCAGTAGAGGCTGGATGGGTGGTCAATGACATCTATGGATACTAAAACACTATACAGTGTATACTGACTGGTAAAGTCTCTCCCACTAGTGTGTCTGGCTCTCCCACCATGTTTGATTTCATCTCTAGTCTGTATGTCTGCTCTTTGATGTGCTCTATGTGACCTGGTGGGGAAGTCATTGGGGGTCTAATGCAGGGGTGTATAGATTCCCATAACTGACTATCCAAAGAAGCATAAAGGTGTCATCGGCTTGTGAGAGCTTCCTCTGTGGAAGCTGGCATCCTGGAACAGGACCTTCCATTTGGAAATTCACAAAACAGTGCACTGACCTCTCAGCCCATCTCAACAACATCCTTCTGTGTCTCTGAGAATGGCCTCTCTAAAGGATACCTACTGCTGTTCCCCTGTTTTTGAAGACTGTGTAGTTGCTTCGTAAGCTCTTTTGTGTAAAAACTGAATTAAAGGATTTGTATATATAAAACATTATAGTAACATATTGAATATGTATTTTGCTTTTAGGTATCAAATGATGAGCAAAAAGATAAATAATGAGTTTTTTTGCTGTATTTGGATTGTAAAATATATGTTGTTTGTCCTAATAATAATAATATCTTTGTCAAATTATTTGGACTTATTCTTGAGCACAGAATAGCTTTTAATGGATGTGTTTGTGTTTAATTAACATTGTTCCCACACTCCTGGAAAACCTGGAAATGTTAGGGAATTTTAAAAACAAGCCTGGACAGGAAGAATGTATATTTTTATAGTGAATATACATTTTTCTTGTTAGTTATAATTGGTAAGAAGTTGAGTGCAGTCTCTGTAAAATGTTTTTGACTGCAAAAGTCATGGGAATGGTCAGTCCTTGAAGCAATGTAACCCTAACAAATTATTTTATTTAATTGTATTTGATAAAAAATCTTATTCAGTGGCTTTTGTTATGAATGCTAAGAATTGATCTCTACCTTTTCCATATCGTCAAATGTCACCGCTGCTGCTGCATGCTTAGCTATAACTTCACATGGGGTTCAGAGATGACTAATTTTCCAAACCACTCTGTTATTTCAACATTTTGTACCCTTTTTATTGACTGCGTCACTCTCAATTTATTGCAAATATTTTGAGCTAAACGTTATTCTTTGGAAATGCATTATTATTATTCAGCTGAATTCCCTGAGGTCATCAGAGCTGTAGGAGCAGTGAAGTATTTTATTAGACCTGAGTGACTGCAGTACAACATGTGACCGTGAGATGTCGCCATATGATAGGCCACCTAAACCTGAATTACGTGCAGCTTTTGAGGACATATTTGTTGCACTTGTGTCATTTAGGTGTTTAAATTACATTTTCCAATACAAGACATGCACTGTCTGTAATGCATTTCTACGCTCACATACTCTTGATATGAATGACTTGTTTATTAAACTGTTGTATAAATTGTTGAATACTGTCCAATACAGCTCTTGCTCAGTTGATTCTTCAGACATATAATGTTTGTGACAAAATTCTGCTTTATATGATTGTGATTATGATTATGTAATTGAGCAAATATGTGCCACGCCTGCTTTGATGTCTACAGGGTTGGGTTGCAAACATTTGACTTAGTGCCCTAGATGTCAAAATGTGATTACTTAAGACAATTAAAAGTCCGGGGACCTCCAGAAGGCTGCAAAGGGGGTTCATAAAAATGTTTAAATGTTTTTTTATTATTTTTTTAATATAAATAATAAAAAAACACGATTTAAATAATAAATTAAATGTAAATAAGTAAATATATTTAAATAAAGAAAATATACTAATGCATCTAACAGTACAGTACAGTATAAATGGGGTCTTTACACAGAAAACGATTAAGAGTCTCCGTGGAATTTAAAAGATTGAAAACCCCAGACTTAATATATACTTAAGATTCAATAAAGCCGGAAAACCACAGCGTAAAGCCTTCATACACCGAGCACATCGCCCTCGGCTCTCATTCCTCGACTGAAGTTCGCGAGAGACTTTATCAAAGTTGCTGTCGGCAGGCTTTCACAGCCAGCGCTCGACAAACAGAGCGACGCTCTGGCCGTTGACGCAAGAGGTGGGTCTGGTCGTCTTGGAAACGAATTGGCACTGGAGTGTGGAAGCGCTTCGAAGCCCCGCCCCTTGTACAAATACCCATAGGCTCTGACGTCAATGCACGTCAACCAGAGAACATGATGCCTCCTGCAAGTCAACTCGTGTACTCTCGCAAACACAGCTGAAATATTAGAGCTCTATTGTATCGGAGGAGGAGGTGGTGTGACACATCGCCGCGCTCCTAAACGCTCTCCTGCTTCTTCTGGTGAGACTGGAGCGGACCGTCAGCGAGCACCCTGGCCGGCACGCTGGCATTTCTACGCGTTTTAGCCTCTGCCGACCTCGTTATCTTGAGGCTCAAGTGGCAGGTCTCTATCTTCTCGCCACAAACCCTAGTGTTTCACTAAAAGCATGGTCATGGCTGACTGTCACCAAAAGCCAGTGCTCAGGGGTCCCGTCCGAGTGGGCTTCTACGATATCGAACGGACTCTTGGAAAGGGGAATTTCGCTGTTGTAAAACTGGCAAGACATCGTATAACCAAGACAGAGGTGAGTTGTGCATATATCAGCTGCAGAGTCATATGAGAGAGTCCTCTAACTAACCCTTGTGCACTGCACAGAAAAACTACGAGATACAAGTTACAGTTTTACTCACACTGGCTTGATTATATTATACTATTGTTGATACTAGTTATGTGAGAACTTGTTTTTATCTTTGGGTAATAAACAACCTGTTTGTCTGAAGCAGTGTCACATATTTTTTTAGGAGCCACCTGGATTTGATTTTTAGGAACGTTTTATAACTTCAACTCAAGTCTGATTTTTTTTCAGTGTTTTTATGTTTTTAACCATTTTGTCAAAATGTAAAATAGTTAAATGTTTAATTAAAATCAGTGATTTTTATTATAAAATAAAATTATCATCAAGCCCATATCTAGATAGGCCTATATAAAATACTAATAACATACAAAATCAAGAATTAATTTATAATATCAGAGGCATTTTTGTTGCTTCAATTGCATTTTTGTTCATTTCTGACCATGGTCTAAGGTATGTTGACTTTTCTAATATTTTTTTTGTTATAACAATTTGCTTTCAAGATGTATGTAAAATATTACAATTAAAAAAAAGTGGGTTTTTTTATCATAAAATAAAACCATCATCAGACCCATATCTAGATATATGAAATGTTAATAATGTAAAAAGAAATAAAAAAAAATAAAAAAAAAATTGTCACTTTCAGTTACATTTTATTTAATTTCAGACCCTGGTCTGAAGTATGTTGACTACAATTAGCTGAAGCCTTTGTGCAGCTTTGCATGCACTGATAAACACACATCCAGCAGCCTAACACCTCAATGGAAATATGCAGAGTATTCAAAAAGTGCAGGGTGCCCAAAACTAGTTGTCAAAGAAAGACAAAGGCTGTGTACAATAGCAAGAAATTATGCTGGTTTAGTGCCCTTTAAATGTGGGCCATGCTGTTGTGCATTTGTGCAGTGGTTGCATAAGCAAAGGGTGATTTTGTGATAATGGATGTTGTCTCGTCACAAAAACCGAGCTGATGTTTGTCTCACATTCCTTGCAAAGAAACCCTGCTGAGCACTGTTTGCATGCCACAAGGTTACGGCGGTCACAGAAAATGTCATAAATTATTAAAAAAAATAATAATAATTTCACATTATTCTGGTTACACTCGGCTCTAAAATGTCTGTGCTTTGTAAGTGCGGTCTGCATTAAATGATTTTTAAAAATCTAAGGCAATGACCTCTGGTGACATTGTGCCACTGTGATTATGTCGCTTTGTAGTAAAGTTTTGGTTCAGGGTGTTATACAGAAGGTGCGAGCTGTAATTTATGCTTGGTCAGAGAGCTTCTGCGGTTTTCAGACTGTCTGCAGATGTAGAGTTTAGCATTGGAGCAGTGTGTGAGGGAATTATGATATTTAACAAGATTATGTTGTACACAGTTGATGCATCTCTGCAATGGCTGCCTTGAGGCGGCTTCATTTCTGCGGAGACGACACTCTATCAGCTTCCCATGAGTCTCTTGTGTTTTGTGATTTCTCTGCTCTTCCTCTGAGCTGTCTTCAGAATACACATGATCTGATAGCATGTGTCTTCTGATTCGTGCATTGCTTTTATTGTTCATGGATTCAACGGACAGTTGGATCACTGTTGCTGCCAATGAGAATGACTAACCACATTCGCATGTGACAGCTGATTCATAGTGATGTGCTCTAATGTTTTCAGTCAGTTACGGTTATGCTTTTCAAGGATGAACTACAAGGATGGCCTGGGGTCAGTGTGAGACAGTTTCAGGCCAATAGACAGAACTGTCACTTGTCAAGTACATTTTGTCTTTCTTGCGTTGATCATGCAAATGTTTTTATGCCTTTCAAATGTAAACATTTGGATTTATGTGAAAAAAAAAGATTGTTTTGCAAATTCTGCTGATTTTGATGTCACCAAGATGCTACCCTGGCAAACATAGATGATGTTTTGTTGAAATTGCGTGAAAACAAATCTTTAAAGCATAAGTTACAATTATAAATCAATCAGTATTTATATATTTTTTTTATCATATGCCACCCTCTCAAGTCTTTGTGAGCCTTTGAGTAATTTTGTATATATTTTATTTAATATATTTATATATTTACATTTAATATATATTTTTATAAATTTTAAAAATATTTGTATAGAAATATATATATATATATATATATATATATATGTGTGTGTGTATACTAGGTATTGCACTAGGTATTTTATACTAGGTTTGTATTTTTGCAGGCCTTACCAAAATTTCACTGGGCCCACCAGTTTATTTTTCAGAACATTATTTTTAATGTTTTGTAATGCAACAATGTTGGAAAATATATATAAATTATGGTAGGACTGGTGAAAATGTTGGCAGGGTAAAATCCAATCCGACCTGACCAGCAGAAAAAAATCCTTATTGTTGAGCCTTTCTTTGGCATTTAAAAATATTTGTGATTTAATGTACGTCAAGATTGACTGATATTTTTTCGAGATTTTTTTTATTCTGTTATACTATGAAGATTCCTCATACTAACAGTAGGAAGCAAGCTGAAGCACCACAGTGTCATAAATCTTCATAACATAAAATGTTTTATATCACTGTAATGATATAAAACATAGGTCAAAGTCTTTAACTCTGCAGTCTGTTTTTTCTGCTTTTGTGTACTTACCTGAACATTATAATTATACAGTCAAAAGGGGGATTGAAGTATGAGTGGTTATGAAATGGTAAATTACTCCTGTTCTTCTCCCATTTGTCTGGCAAATGATGAAAAGCCTGTGGGAAAATGATAATATAATTTGGCTCATTAGCCTACTTCAGTAGTTAAGCCGTTAACCAGACGCTCAGGTGTGCTTTGCTCATGTATTCTGCCTTTGATCCGCGCTGGGGCTTGTGAAGACTGGATCGACTTGCACTGCAGACAGCAACAAGAATAATGAATTTCACTGAGTAGCTTGAGGCATTAGGCTCTGTGCCAATGAAAGTGTGTTTCTGTGCCCTTCGTTCAACAGGTGGCTATAAAGATCATCGACAAGACCCAATTGGATGCTGTGAACCTGGAGAAGATCTATCGTGAAGTACAGATCATGAAAATGCTGGACCATCCGCACATCATTAAACTGTACCAGGTAAAGTCTACCCGAAAACCCGAGGTCCGACCCGAGCGGGTTCGGGTCCAAAACTTCAACGAGTAGGCCTACCTCGGACACGGGTCGGGTTCAGTATTAGCGGCCTCGAGTCTCGGGTAATTTAAAATAAACATGCTTTTCCCAAATGGACCCGATTAGACCCGAATTCTTTTAAACTATCCCGAATGCATAGGTTACTTTCACTTTCGTGTTAAGAGAGGAACACACATTGAAAAGGAGCACACAGACATCATCTTGTAGATATGAGATCCATCAGGAAAATCCACTCGCTTCATTATGCTGCGTGTTCATGCAGGGCTTTTTTTTTTTGTGTGCAGAAGCCTTTCGCCGGAGATCAGGTTGCAGACAACACTAGCGAATCCATTAATTATTAGGCTATCGATTTATTTTTTATAAAACTATCACGTTTATTTTTCAAATCCACTGGTCACGATTGAAAGCCGAGCTCAGAAATAACTTGTATCCATCAGGCAGGCACTAATATAAAGTAGCCTAATAATAAGTTGAATAAATGTTAAATAAATCAAAGTAATGGAAACCGGCCAAATCAGTCAGCAGGACACCGGGATTTTTCCTGACTGACTGCGGGGCTGCAGACTGTACACGTTTACGTTCGGGTCCAGTCGGGTTCGAAAATAAATGCTGTCGGGTTGGACTCGGGTCTAATTTCATCGGGTCTGTCTCGGGTCGGGTTTTTCTTTAAAAAAAAATAATTTATTCACGTCGGGTTCGGGTAAGAAGTGATTCGGGTCGCGTACAGATTTTAGGACCCGAGAAGACCGCTAATCTGAACTCTGAAATTGATTTAGAAATAGAGTGTAAGGGCTGTACCTGAGCAAATATCACCATATTACCAGCCATCAAGCCAAAGTTAATAGCTAACTACTTTTCACAGTAAACTTTCGCATGAACACATTAAATTTGTCCAGCTGGAAAAAGCCTATTTTTTTTTAACTAGAGATCATTCACACTTTGGAGTCAAAGTCACACAAACACTAAGAAGATGAGATAACTTCTCCCCCAGTGTGACTTCACTGCAGCATTATGAAAGAGTCAGACTTTAGGTCACTTTGGTTTTTGGGAATGGGAATAGCGCTTCCTTATTATACAACGCAGCGGCACCAGTCCAAGCCCTTGCCGTGTAATCATAGTGCATCATTATTTCCAATGGTTACTCCATTCAAACGGCATGGGTCAATTAGTCATTTCCTTTCAGGCCTCATAAACAGAGGGCAGCTCTGCAGGCCCTGCCATCTCATCTCTAACCCCCGGTTTCCCTCTGCCCCATCTGCTACGGCTCAGGGTCCTAACACCAAGCAGCTGCTCTGCACACGCACCCTCATGTACACGTAATGCAGCAGCACATGGTCCATATTTACTGTGGTGATCTGCCTCTATTCAAACGTCATACATCAGCAGCATTACATGTCAGCTTTTTCTTTGGTCATTTCAGAGAGGGGTGATTCTTTTCTATACCAACTGATCAATTAATTTGAAAACTATATATATATATACATACATATACACACACACATACACTGGGTATAGAAAAGAATCACCCCCCCTTTATATAATCACATTTTGTTGCTTTGTAGCCTGAAATGAAGACGGACACATTTTTTGTTTTATCCAGCTGTATTTACTCAGTGTAACTTATAACATCTAATTTAAAGAAATAACACCAACATGTCAGAAAAAAAAAATACAAATAAAAAAACAACAACAAAAAAGGATCACCCCCTTGTGTCAGTATTTTGTTGAACCACCTTTTGCTTATTCCACAGATTTTCAGTGGGGTTTAAGTCTGGGTTCTGTCTAGGCCATGCAAGGACATTTACCTTTTTCTCATTCAAACACTGTGCTCAGTTTTGCTGTGTGCTTTGAGTCAATGTCATGTTGGAAGGTAAAACTTCTTCCCATTGACAACTTTCTGGCAGAGGACTGCAGATTTTCCTCAAGAATTTGACGGTATTTTGCCCCATCAATTTTTCCTTTATCCTGACAAGTGCTCCAGTCCCTGCTGCAGAGAAACACCCCATAACAGGATATTACCCACAGGAGTGGCTTTTTTTCTTGCAACCCTCCCCTACAAGCCGCATTTGTGGAGAATTTGTGATATTGTTGTCACATGCACACAATGACCACTCTTTGTCATAAATTCCTGCAACTGCTTCAGAGTTGCTGTAGGCCTCTTGGTAGCCTCTCTGACCAGTTTCCTCCTGGCTCTTTCATCCAGTTTGGAGCGACATCCTGATCCAGGGAGGGTCTGTGTTGTACCAAATACCTCCCACTTCTTAATAATAGACTTCACTGTGCTTCTAGACATTAATAAAGCCTTTGAAATTTTTTGTATCCATCTCCTGACTTGTGCCTGTCCACAACTTTATCCCGGAGATCTTTTGAGAGTGTCTTGCCACCCATAGTTGATTGTTTGCTTCAGTTGCACTACCAAGGGCTGAAACGCTCCAGGAAAGCTCTTTTCATGCTGAGCTAATCAAAATGACCAGCTGATCACAGTTGGAAGTCAAATGGCTTTGTGTGCCATTGAGAAGGTGATTAGCTACACCTGATTGAGTTTACAAGTCATTTTTAGGAGAGGGGTGATCCTTTTTCCAACTCAGTGATTCTGTTTCTTTATTTTTTTTCTGACATGTTGGTGTTATATCTTTAAATTAGATGTTATTAGTTGCACTGAGTAAATACAGCTGGATAAAACAAAAACTGTCCATCTTCATTTCAGGCTACAAAGCAACAAAATGTGATTATTTTAAAGGGGGGTGATTCTTTTCTATACCAACTGTACATTCATACACAGTGTTGGGGGTAACGCATTACAAGTAATGCGAGTTACGAAATCAGATTACTTTTTTAAAGTAACTAGTAAAGTAACACATTACTTTAAAATTTACAACGAAATATCTGAGTTACTTCCCGAGTTTTCCAATTTATTCACTGGCACTGCGTATTAAGAGAAATTGGGAGTGAGGTGCAGAGGCACTTCCTTTAGCCCGAGGCTTATTAATTTAACTTTTTTGTGTGTAAGGGCCAAAAATATAACTTTTGAGCTAACCTAGCCCAGGTGAGAAAAAGTAATGCAAAAGTAACATAATGCATTACTTTCTATAAAAGGTAACTAAGTAACGCAATTAGTTACTTTTTATGGAGTAACACAATACTTTAATGCATTACTTTTAAAATTAACTTTGCCCAACACTACAAACACACACATACACAAACTTTAAACATTTTTCTAGGTTGTAAGTAAAAAATTATTGGAGTACTGTAAAAAAGATTATTGGAGTATGTTTTACAAGAAAATACTATTTCTACATCAAAATTTCCTGTTTAATTCAAAGTGTTACTTGTGTACAAAGTGTTAATTCTTTGTAATTGTCTGCGAAAAATTACTAGCAATTGTTTCTACGCCAAATTATTTTCAGTGTATTTGAATAGGCATGTTATGCAATTTCTAATTGATTGATAGTCCTATTTTGTTGTCAGTTATCATTGGCAACAGCGTGACCCATCCCCTGGTGTAATGTGACTAACCACTGCCAGTGTGTCACGTAACAGACAGCCAACTAGTGTAGAATCAACTATTCACATGAGATAATTTGAGTTATTTCCAGTTATTTGCTTATTTGGCATCTGATTGGGATAAGACGTGCTTTGTGATCATTGTGTTCAGAACAGCTCTGAGATCACAGCTTCCATCAAAATATGTTTCTGGAAAGGAGAATTAGTTTAGGAGTTTAAAAGATGATTCATATTCTGGCCTAGTTGCTGATTTTATTAGTCAACCCTGTCATGCCTTTAAATGGCAAGAGCAGAAAAGCCCCTACAAGTTGAGCCCAGATAAGGCTGATTTCCACAAAAGCCTATAGAGTTGAAGCCCAAACCAACTGACTAGAAATGGCCGACAGTAGTGTTTATGTGGGACTCTGTGAATGTTTCTGAATTATAACATGCCGCTTCTCTACACTACATTTAGTTCTATTCATCTTTTTGTTTTCTTTGGCTAATTCTGGAGGCCTCCCACACATTACTGGCTCTGACACTGCACTGTGAATCGAGCCTACGAGTAAACCAGCATCCCACTCTAATTCATGTGTGTTTCATTATAATGTGAACTCAATGGGATACTTCAGATTTCAGCTGAATGTAGCAGTCATTTTATCACTCAACCCACTTTTTGCACTCGCTTTGTGTTTCATGTGTATTTTGGATCTATGCACGCCATCTACTATAGTGTCAAAGACAAAGGATTTTACCTGTAATGCATCATTTTTTTTTTCATCCTCACGCAGGTCATGGAGACCAAGAATATGCTGTACCTTGTGACAGAATACGCCAAGAATGGGGAAATCTTTGGTAAGTGGTACCAAACATTTACAATAGTGCGATGCAAATTTTGGTACCTGATATGAAATATATTGCATAATGGATAATTGTTGTTATTATAATAGCAACCAATAATACTCACAGGGCCTAAGTATCTATACATTATTGGATGAATGTTGTATTCAGGATGGTTAGCAAAGAATTACATGAGATGATTTTTTAATTAAAAAAAAAAAAAAGCTGACTACCATATTTGGATGTTGTTGTTCTTGCTCTTGTTGTTGATTCACGATGATATGATGCTTTGCTTATGCTGTCTGTCAGCCAGATCTACCTCTTATCAATTTCACTATACATTTATCCTGATTCCACATCACTGACACGGAGAAAGTGTGTATTCAGCCTAACATCTTGATTTCAGATGATAGTGACAAAGGTCAGGCTGAAATTAACTCAGGCGAGACAAACACCGTCTGTGTGAATAACCATCATAGTCACAAGCAACAAATGTGTCAGTGATGATGATGATCATATTCTGACGGCTCAGCTGTCTGTCTTTCCATTGCTTTGGAGTTCTTTCTTATGACACACAAGCTCGAAGCTAAGAGCAAAACTGAAGGTCAAAGAAAATTAAAGGAATCGTTCATGCTAAATTTTTATTCTGTCATCATTTACTCCTACTCTCGTTATTCAAAGCCCGAGTGACTTACTTTCTTCCGTAGAATACAAAGGGAGCATTTTTTAATAAAGTACCAGTACTGGCCACCTGTTTCAGTTAGAGTGAACTAACTGAATTTTTAATGCTTCAAAAAGCAACCAAAAACCCCACAATAACAGTCCATTTGACACATGTGCTATATTCAAGTCTTCTGAAAGTCATATGATCACTTCATGAGACAAATGTAGGTCCTTATTCACTGCTAATCTTCCATTTGTTTTTTCCCACGAAGTTATTGAATGACTTCTGAAGATTTGGAATATTAGGGAACAAGTCCTATGGATTACTGTTATGATATTGTATAGTTTTTTTTCACTGTAGCCATTCACTTTTATTACAGTAGCTATTTGGAAAAAAATATATTCTGGTCGGATATTCTTTAAAGACTTCACACAGAGAAGATTCATACAGGTTTGGAACAACATGGACGTAAATAATCTGAATTTTCATTTTTTTTAAACTATCCCTTTAAAAATCACTTGTTGGTGATTCTTGAGGGTGAAAATGATGTAAAAGTAGACTATATCACTGCCAGTGACTGATATCTTTGGCTGAATCCGAAATCGCCCCTTATACCCTCATTCACTCTTCCCTACATTAGACCACTAATACAGTTCACTTGAAAGAGTAAATAAAAACGAGTGAGTGAATTCGGACACTGAGTGCAGAAAGACTGCTGCTTTTGCATAGTTTGAGCTTGCTGTTTAATAATCATTTGAATCTGGCAGCTCCAGTAGTAAGATGAAAGGATTTATCTTTAACTCTGTCATGGAAATTATGTATAAAACCTAATTAAACAATTTAATAATCAATTTACAATGAATTTTTACCTGTATTATATTACGCTGTACGCCATGGACAAGTGCTTTATAAAATGGATGGATGGATGAATCAGCTGCAGGTGCAATCTTCTGGCGAGGTGCGGCAATTCATTCGCCAGGCGACTCTCGCAGTGCATTATGGGTATTCTCTAGCTGTTGAACAAACATCAGTTGTACACTCGAAATCGATAATGTCCATTAAGGTTTCAGACACCACTAAAAATGGCTGTCCCCTCAAATAGTGCCCAAATTAAGGATATAGGGGGTGATTTCTGACTCCGGGTTTGATTTTGTAGCAGCAGCTGCTGTGCACCACCTGTGAAAACTCACATAATCATCACACATTATTCTTACATAACAGGGTGTCTATTTCACAGTACACGGCAATGTGATATGCTACCAAGAATTTGTTCCTACCCTGGGGAGTCAAGATTTTATTTTTTTTTTATGTGTGTGTTTTTAAGTTTTGATGTGTTTTAAGGGAAATAGCTGTAATATAAAGCCTATAGATAGAGTAGCCTTGCCCACAGTGAAATCCTATTGGTCCAAAACTGTATATTCAACATCAAATATATTCTAATTGGCTGTTGTTGTTCTGCATCGTGTAACATTTCTGCTTTCATTGCAGACAGACAAATTACTTAACACTGTTTTGTTTCAGATGTATTTGTTGTATTTTTGTAAACATATTTGTCACGCATATTCTGTTTGGCCAGCCACCAATCAGCATGCTCATACTGGTAATGTGTTTTATTGCTACACAATAAACAGACATTTAGTGTGATTCTTTTACAATCTCGTGGTTGTGGTGTACTTTGTGCGGAAACCATGACCCTGGTGACAACAGCCTCTCTGTTTTGAAAGAGATATAAAGAGGGATGTCGTGGGTGGCTGGGGCAAACCAAATTACTTGTTCCTGCCCAATTGTGCTAAAGGGTGAGATAACAGCCAAACGTCCCGTAGAGAATTGAAATGAGGTTGCCGAGGTCAAATAAAATGATCTGTCGACATAGCATAACTAATACTTACATGACAGTTTTTGTTAAGATTACCACATAATTACTGTCTTGTAGTACTGAGAGGCCATGCTGTCCAGCTATTGTGATTCTCTGTTGCACAATATGATTATGCAACTTATTTACAGCATGTGCCATCTCTATCAACACTAAAAGTCTCCAGTTAATCACAAATTATGAAAGATACTTTTTGTAATCATTAAGACCAAGTGGTGTGCGCTTGCACCACACTGAATCTAAGCTATCCTAACATAACACAGGCACTCACTTCCATCAAATAATCTTCACAGGGATAAAAGAGAGAGGAGAGAGAGACTGAGCAGCATTTGGTGCTGTGAAGTGCTGGGTTCGGTCCCCCGTGGTGGAGCTTAGCAGCGCAGAAGCCCACCACTTGAGTCTGTCTGCTCCACCAGCACCGCAGAGCCGAAGCATTAGAGGGACCTGGAAACTGGGTCAACATCGAATAAGTAGAAGCTGCAGAACGCACAGGCAAAGCAGGAGAGAGAGGGAAAGCTAAGGGACATTGATTTAAATTTTGGAAGTGGAGAGGAGAAAAGTAGGCCATGCATATTTTAGAAAAATCCAGAGCTGGAGAAAAGGTTCTTCTTGAACATGTCAGCTGATCAGTCTTGACACCCGTGTCTGCCCTCAGCCTCTCGATCCCTGCCTTTTACCCTCAGGCTCTATTTATAGTCTGTCGATTTTAGGTTTTAGCATTAGTATTGGTAGTATAGGAAAACTCACAATTCCTGTCTAGATCATTTATGACTCACTGGAAAGAGTGTACGTGTGTTTGGAGACCAGAAGAAATGTATTCAGTATGTTGGAAATAGTTTCACTTATTTGTAACAAAATTTATCTTGGTATTACCATGTTTTCGCATATTTACTATGGAAGCATTATGGTTTTTCCTTTGGGTATTTAATACCATGGTTTTATTTGATTTGAACTAATTATTATATATGCAGTTTAGAGTATATGATCTCATAAATTGAGAGACTGTTTGAAAAATATTTTTTATAGCTAATTAAAAAAATGTCACGCAGCAAGAGAATAAAGAATGATGGTGAAGAGCATAATGATGTTAAAAGCTTAAAATAAATGGTAATCTAATTAATGAAGAATCTAATTAAATCTAATTAAAGAATTAGAAAATACCATGGCATTGTTTGAAGTATTTTTTTTATTTTGAAAATTTTTCTGATTCTTTTAAAATTATTGTATATGCTTATATGCAGAATGACCTTATTAACTATGAAATGTAATATGATTTTTATTATTATTACAAATATTTTATTTATTTTATTTCAGTGAATTAAAGCTGGTGGAACACTTAAAATACCATCAGTATTTTTGTAAGTGACAATACTGCCAGGACAAGGTTCAGCTAGTTCATGCTTTTAAACCCCTAATACACAAGCCCGGCAGTAAAATGCTCCTTGCTGGGAAGAGGAAATGCTCTTTCTCCTCTCACGTGCCTCTTTAAGGCAGTTAGTCAGTCCATGCAACTGTGGTGTAACTGACACTCTGGTTTGTAAGGGTCAGTTGAGAGGAACTCCATTTGTACTACTTATAAAGTAGAAGCAACTTTTATTAGGCCAGCTGGCCAGCTCAGGCTCTTTTAGGTCTCTCTTGTTCATGCTCACATGGTTAAGAAAAGAAAAAAAAAATCATACATAAGATCATTTTAGAGGCCTGACTGAGGTACCTGGTATGCTGGCACCAGAATGATATGACGTTCTGTTGGCCAAAGTCCACAGTCTGTGATTTAGTGGGGGTGATTACAGCCAGTTGAGTGGTGTAAAGTAGAGTGTATGAACATCTTATCTTAAAGTAGATCCCTGCTGGCCCTTTGACCCAAATATGAGACATTCCTATGTCAGGTGTGTTTTTTTTATTAGTAACGTAGTCCTAAAAAAAGTTTAAAATGGAGCACAATTTCAGAATGTTACATCTGGTATCTAATTGGTTAGCTCAGTGAATTTTACATTTGGCATTACTGTAAAATTATTATTATTGTAGTATGTGTGTGTGTGTGTATATATACATATTAAAAAATATATATTTTCTATAGTAGTGTGTGGTGACATTTACTGTTTCTCTGTAAAAAAAAAAAATGTAGGAATCTGGGTGATCGGAAATTCCATGTGAGGACGAAAAGTTCCCCCGCAGATTTTGCACATTTTCAAAGAATGTGAATTCGCCATCTGAGCTGTGCTTCAAATATTTCTACAATATTGACAATCAACAATGCCTTTATTGCCAGTTACCTTTTGTAAATTTTCGCTAATGTGACTGCACCTTAAAGGGTTAGCTCACCCAAAAATCAAGATTTTGTCATTAATTACTCCCCCTCATGTTGTTCCAAACCCGTAAAACCTTTGTTCATCTTCTGAACACAAATTAAGATATTTTTGATGAAATCCGAGAGCTTTCTGACCCTACATAGACAGCAACACAGCTACCACATTCAAGGCCCAGAAAGGTAGTAAGGACATTGTTAAAATAGTCCATGTGACATCAGTGGTTCAACCGTAATTTTATGAAGCTACGAGAATACTTTTTGTGCGCAAAGAAAACAAAAATAACTTTATTCAGCAATTTCTTCTCTTCCATGTCAGTCTTCACCGCGCATTCACAACGCATGTGTGTGTGTTAAACCACTGATGTCCCATGGACTATTTTAACAATGTCCTTACTACCTTTCTGGACCTTGAATGTAGAAGTTGTATTGCTTTTTTTCTATGGAGGGTCAGAAAGCTCTCAGATTTCATCAAAAATATCTTCATTTGTGTTCAGAAGATGAACGAAGGTCTTACGGGTTTGGAATGACATGAGGGTGAGTAATTAATGACAGAATTTTCATTTTTGGGTGAACTATCCCTTTAAGGCTAGGTTATCCAAGGTAATCCTGTGATCACAAATTGTTGTCTGTTGAAAATTGATTTTGATTTTTGAAAAACAGCTTATCCAGAGATAAGTACGCCTTGTACCCACAGTCGCTCCGCCAGCCCACCTCAATGTAATCCCAAGGCGAGTATGGAATGGAATGTGTGAGGACTGTAGGTCTGGCCACGGGCCGAGGGCCAGGGACTGACCCAGTACTCTAGGGTGTGGTGACCACATGATTACACCATCCGGGGGGATGTTTACCCTACTCTCACACCACAGAGCCTCCTTATTGTTGCTCATCAATCTCTGCCACTAGCCACACCACACCGCCAAGCCTTTTTCCCGGTACAACGTGTGGTCATGGTTTTCCACTTTTTTTGTGTGTGTGTGTGTGTGTGTGTGTGTGTGTGTGTGTTCAGTGTGTTCAGTCTGTGACCCTTATTACAATACATTACCCATCCAAAATGTTTAATTGATTCAGGTCTGTGCTGTCTGTGCTTGTGATGTTTAGTTAACCTCACGTCAACTTTATTTAGACTACCTAGCCAAGCATGGACGGCTGAGTGAACCAGAGGCACGACGCAAGTTTTGGCAAATTCTGTCTGCTGTTGAGTACTGCCACAATCGAAACATCGTTCACCGGGACTTGAAGGCGGAGAATCTGCTGCTGGATGGACACATGAACATCAAGATTGCTGGTAAAGACCATCACAGTTACATTATCCACAATTTTGATACATTACTAGTCTTTGGTAAATTGGTATTGATATTGAATTGTTGAAAAATATAAAACAGCTGTTTTATATTAATTATTTTATATATTACATATATTATGTACACATTTACCCAATTTGATATTATATAATATATAATTTATGGCTATAATTAATTATATTTTATTATATGTGACCCTGGATCACAAAACCAGTCATAAGTAGCACAGGTATATTTGTAGCAATAGCCAAAAATGCATTGTATGGGTCAAAA